GCGCCGGCCCGCTGGGTAACTCAGCCCGGTGACTGTGGCGCGCGCCTGTCATGCCAGCACTCCTGAGGCTGAGGCAGGCGGATCGCAAGTTCAAGTGCGGCCTGGGAGCCAAGTGACTAAGTGACTTAGTGAGACGCTGTCTCAAAGTGAAAAGAGAAAAGTACCAGCGCCTGCCTCCGCCTTGTACCCTAAAGGCAGCCTGATGAGAAGGTGGCGGGGCGCAGGGTCATCGAAGCGGGTCGTGTGGCCCCGGGGTGAGCGGGGCCTGTCACAGCGGATGGTGCGAGCGCAGCGTGCACCCGGCACGGGGTGCTGAGGCAAACGCCAGTCCCTCCGCGCCCCCACGCTAGTGGCCTCAACCTGCGCACTTGTCCGGCTTTCCTGAACCTGACTGGTCTGAGCGGGCCGCCCAGCTCCGAGGGCTCCACGGGTCCGTTCTTGGAGGGTCCCCCCAGCTCGCTTGCCACCTCCAGCTGCTACGGAGATCGTGTCCCACGTTCAGCAGCTGCAAAGGCCACGTTTTTCCGCGGTGAAACTTCCTCTTTCACATCTATGTGGTCTCAGTGCGGACAGAGCTTGTGCAGTGTGCAACCTGCCCAGCGGTACAGGGCCCCTGTGCTGAGGCTCTCTTCCCTCTCGTCTGCTGTAGACCTACTCCGGCCTGTTCTGTGTGGTCATCAACCCCTACAAGCAGCTGCCCATCTACACGGAGGCCATTGTGGAGATGTACCGGGGTAAGAAGCGCCACGAGGTACCACCCCACGTGTATGCGGTGACCGAGGGGGCCTACAGGAGCATGCTTCAAGGTGAGTGAGGGGCGGGCCGGGCCAGAGCACAGGCTGGGCATTTCTCTGAGGGTCCTTGGGGGCTTGGGAGGAGCACACAGGGCAAGGTGGGCCTGGCTCTGGTCATCACCACCCTCTTTCACACCCTCTCTCAACAACTGGCGTCACTTTTCCTAGAGACAGTAAACCCTACACCATTCGCTCATTCAACGTTAGTTGTTGGATTTTAGACACTGTCGTGGGGTGAAATGCAGTCTTTCAGGCAGATGAGAGCCCAGGCCTGTATGGACAGCTGCTCAGACGGTGCCCTGCCAAGGGCTTCCACCTGAAGGGCTCAGATCGGCTAGGGAAGCCCTGCGCTGTGCGGTGCGTAGTCCCCTGGCGGATGATGAGCTGCGTTTGCTTTATGAGTCCACGCATGGTAAAAGGTCACCTTATCTGGTTCCGTTTTCTCTGTGTTTGTTTTTCGGGCGATTTCTAGCTTTTATCCCACGATCCCTATTGTGGAGTTTTAGGAATAAATAAACACGGTAGTGAGGCCCAGCACAGATGTGTTTCTTTCAGATTTCTCCTGGACTCGCCAGTCTCCACGTGGCCCTGGGGTTTTCCACTTTTCTTTCTGTTATGCATTTTTAAACATCGAGACAGGGTCTTAGTATATAGCCCGGGCCATTCTCCCGCCTCAGCCTCTCAGGTGCTGGGATCACAGGCGTGCGCCACCTCACCCGGCCTAACCCCCTTTTTTAAATCTACTCGGAGGCCGCACCTGTCCCGCTCGCGCCTCTGTCTCTCCGACGCCCTCCCCTTTGGCCTCTGCCCAGGGTGCCCCTCCCTGTCTGAAATGTCCCCCAATCACCCCGTGACCCCGTCCTGCGACAGTGGACATCAGCAGTCCTGGGAATCGGCCTTCGCCCAGGATGAAGCTCCACGTAGCAGGCCCCACCAAACCCACAGCCCTGGGGCTTAGCAGGTGCTCAGTGCACCTCGGACCGCTGTGCGGGCCTGGCTGGGTGCTGGGGCTCCGTCTCAGTCCCAGGTCGGGGCTGACCCACGGGGTCCCGGCCTCAATGTCCTCGAGGCCCGAGGTGGCTCACTGTGGGGTTGCTGGATGGAGACCATGCTGCTCCCTGCTGTCACCTCCATTTCACAGAGCAGAGTGGGGACAGTGGCCTTTGCAGGTCACACAGACAAAGCAAAGCGTTCACTGAGCAGGGGAGGGGAGGGAGAGTGTTAGGGCCCAGAGGTGTCCCATCCCAAGCCACTGGTTCCCTGGGGAGAGACCCCAGGTGACGCGGCCCTCTCTGTCCGACAGACCGTGAGGACCAGTCCATCCTCTGCACGTGAGTGGCCGGGGCTCCCTGGAGGCGGAGGGGTCCCCCGCGGAGGGGCAGAGGGCGCCCGGCCTCACCGCCCCATGGCCGGTGTCCCCCGCAGCGGGGAGTCTGGAGCTGGGAAGACGGAAAACACCAAGAAGGTCATCCAGTACCTGGCGCATGTGGCATCCTCACCAAAGGGCAGGAAGGAGCCCGGAGTCCCTGTAAGCCACCTCCTGGGCAGCCCGCGGCCAGCAGCAGCCTCCGCGTGGGCTCACAAGGGCCCCTGCCTCTGTCTCTCTGTCTGTCTCTGTCTCTCTCCCCCTTGGCACCTCGGCCACCCAGGTGCCTACTGTGCACCCCTGGGAGCAGGGCAGGCGACACAGGGTGTCGAGCACCCTGTAGACGCCCCCTTTCCTGTGGCCCGGTTCCAGGTGGGTGCGATGCCCGCTTTGGCTCCTTGCTTCTGTGCTCCCCCCTTTCTGAGCTCACTATCGGGGGTCACTGTTTTCCCACGGTGACAACAGGGAAACCCCGGGCACTGCCAGGTGACTCCGCCGGGTCACGCTGCCAGGAAGGGGACAGCAGGACCGGAAGCCTTGTGCTGGGCCCCTGCCCTCCACCCCGGTGCCCCGGGCCGCCCGCTCACCATGTGTCTGTCCACGTTCCATGTGCTGTGTCCGGTCCCTGTGTCGTGTCCCGTGACGTGCTCAGGCCTCTGCCAGCGCCATGTCTTATGTGAGTAGCAGGGCTCCCTGTGGTCTCAACCCCACTGCCCCGCACGCCATCCTGCTGGGTGACCCCAGCGCAGTGCTGCCGAGGGGTGCAGTCCTACTGTGCACACCGCTGCCGCCTGAGCCGGGAACCCTCACGCATGGCCCTTTCCGGTGCCAAGCCTCGAACCCCTCACTTTGCACGTGTTCTTTACTCCCACGACGCCACCTACCATAAGCAAAATGTGTTCTGGGAGCAGGTACCGAGGGGCTGCCACTCACTGGGTGTCCGCTGTGAGCTGCTCCGACCCTGACGGGGCTGAAGGGAACTTCGGAGCAAGACTCTTACCTTGCAGCTCAGGGAAGGAAACACCATTTACTGACTGCCTCCGTGTGCCAGACGGTCTAAGCGCTTCTCCATTAATTAAAGATTTTATGGTCAGGTGCGGTGGCGCACGCCTGTCATCTCAGCCCTTGGGAGGCTGAGGCAGGAGGATGGCCATGAGTTCGAGGCCAGCTTGGGCCACATACATAGCAGGTTCAAAGCCAGCCTGAACTACGTAGCGAGGCCTTGTTTCAAAAATCCAAAGAAAAAAGTTTCCCTTTTACCACAAGACTACATAGGCATTGTGACAACGACAAAATCAAAGTGAAATCCTCTTTCCTGCTGTCAGCCCCCTTCCTTAGGGTGGCTTACGTTGACGACACTTTGGGACGTACCCCTGAAGGTCTTTTTCCTTCTTTTTCTAACACGTATATATCTGTAAAAATAAGTGTTGTTTTGTGCTTTTGTTGTTGTTAATGAGAACGCGCTGTAAACACTGTGCAGCTCGGCTCTGTCTGGGTTCCACTCAGCGATGTGTGCGGAGACCCTTGCGGGTCCCTGACGCGGAGGGGTGGGAGGCCCGCACGTGGGGAGGCCTCTGTC